TTTTTTCCCATCCAGAACCTTTGCGATCATCTACCTGTCCAGCTTGGGAAACAGTCCTGAGGAGCAGATGAGCACTGCATCTCTTCAGATGATGCTTGGCTGAATCTTGCGGGGCCCATGACCATCCCGTGACCCAATCCTGATGTGATCTCACCAGTTGCACCGCATTGCACCGCTCCTAAGGACATTTTCTGGTTGAAGGAGGCGCCTGGAAAGACCCTCGTGGTAGGTGCTGCATACATCGCGCTGGACCCTTGGCAGCAACATGCTAAAGACCCCAGCAAAAATGAGAGCAGGGTTCCGTGGAGATAGAAATCAGTTTCTACAGAACCCTTTTCGAATGTGCAACCACCAAATATCTTTGATATCCGTTGATTTTATGGTTAAAGAACCGCATCCCTAATTTCTGTAATTATTTCAATGTTATTTCGCTTTGCTAGGTTTGGGTCCATCGGCCAGGTAGCCCATGTCCTTGTAGCTTCTAGACTCCAAATCAGAACCGGCCCACAGAAACAAGATGGAACAAGATGAAACAAGTTGAAACAAGCAGGAGTGAGCCCTTTAAAGATCTTTAAAGCCTTCGTTTGTGTAAGCTGAGGAGTGTGCAGGATTCCTCAACGGCTTGGGCTACGCGCCTCGGCTGGTGGACATGGGGACATACGGGGACATCGCGGAAGAATCAGGTCTTGGAGAAGAAGCCTTCACGACATATCTTGATCACATCTTGTCATATGTATATTAAGTATATTATGATATATTATGTAATAGTCATTCTTAGTCTTAGTATTGCCATGATAGCGCAGCATAAATTCTATCCACAGATGTGGGGATTCAGTCGCCATATGATCTCGCTATAAATTATTATATATCTTGTTACGGGCTGTGACTATGCGGGGTGTTACCGTAGATTCTATGGTAGATACGGTAGTCAGTCTATGGCCGCCAATGCGGAGAATACATGAGAATACCAGCATAGTGGAAGTCTAACTCCTTTATTTTCATTTATTTTGCAGATGTGCCTGAGGATACCACGGTCATGGTGCGCTCCATGCTGTTGCGTGGCTTTGACCGTGAATGCGTTGACAAAATCGACGCATACATGGACAAGGCAGGCACAAGATGTTGCTCCCCTTGCTTCCGACCACAGAGTCTGCAAAAGTTCAGTAGGGAATCTAGGAATCATGGTTGCAGGCAGGTATCTTGTTCGTAATACCCTCATATACATCTGTACTAATTGCATTGGTCTACATTGCGCACATACATCCGAGTCTCAGAGTTGAAAGTTGCCGCAAAGTTGGTACTGGCGCACGTGCCTGCAGCTTACTTGAAATTTTGCCCGCTGTTACCTGAAACCCTCGGTGCAGGAAGACATTGTAAATTTGGGAGCTGTCATGTTGAGTTTTAGTGACTAGTGAAGGTTTCATTTTGCCAGCCAGCACCTTGGCCACCATCCATCATTTATGCTTTAAGCATCACTTCACCTCTCAGATGGGCGTCAAGTTCATCCGTGGATGTGTGCCAGAACCTTGCCCGCAGTGCTGAACGAGGTCCTGTGTTCTGTGTTTGGGCCCCTGAATTCTGAAAAAAAAACCTAGCTCAGCTCATGACATCTCATGACATTTCATGACATCTTATGACATCTTATGACCCTTTGAGCTTGTGACCATTTGTGCCTCTGCTTAGAGTTCAGTCCTGGGGGGCTTGTTTCAAGCCAAGCTGGCAACCCAACAGTTCTCCTTCCCAAGCTTGGTGCCCATTTGACTGAATTGCGCTAGCCACCTGAGGGAGCCAGGGCACTCCTGATACCACCCCAAACAGTGAAAGCATGTGAAAGCAGTCAGATTTTGCTCAGGACCGCTTCGAGAAGGGAACCTCCAAGAAGGCTGGACCCGAGCTGGGCCATTCCAAATTGAACTACAAAGTTGTTTCCATCAGCATCATCGTTCTATGCTCACATTAGGGATGAAGCACACCCATGCTGCAGGTGAAGTGCGTTTGGAAAGTGGGCAGTGAGGAGACCCTGGGAAACCCCTGGAAAACTGTGTCTAACCAGCTCGAGCATCAACTGAATTGGAAGCAAGTCATGATTGAAACAGCCATCGATGCTGCACTCTATTTCATGAGTTTCATGCTATTTCCGTGCCGTGTTTTGCAGGAGAAGAGTGAAGAATTCGACACCGTCCTTCTGGCCATCGGGCGCACAGGTGAAGCCCAAAAGCTTGGCTTGGCAGAAGCCGGAGTACCTTGGACATTTTGGACGGATACGTGAGATATTGTCACGATATGTCACGATTATGCAGCTGGTGAGAAACATGGGGAAGTGTAGAAGGGTTGAGGGTTGAGTCAAGAAACGTGCGGATTTGGGTTTGGGCCTATGGAGCCCAAGGTGTGGTTCAATCCAGAGAATGGAAAGGTTCCAGCACCAGCTGAGTCGACCAACGTGGCCTTGGCAGCATGAGAGTCTTCTCATCTGGCACATGTGCGGCTGCTGGAACAGTATGGCCACGTGAAGTTTGGGGAATAGTCCAGGAAGTTCCCTCTATAACACAACTGCATGTCCAAAGTACTTAAACAATGTTAAACATAAACAGATTGTGGCTGGCTTCTTTGCAAAATCGAAATTTGATTGAGATTTCAATAGATTTCATGGTGAAACCTGCCTGACCTGTCAATCCTGTCAGCAGTTTCGCCTGGAGGTGCCAAACATTTTTGCGATTGGTGATTTGGTTCAGAACAGGCGCTCCTAAGCCCAGTTTGTGACACGGGCTCGCCCACTAGTCATCTCCTATCCATTTGCAGGCCCGAGCTCACTCCCGTGGCCAAAGTGGCTGGAAAGAAAGTGGTGCAGCGTATTTTTAAGGGCGACATGCAGGTGCGTATGGTGCATTTTTCTTTGCGCAAGTGGCGTGACATTTGTCATTTGGCAGGCCATGAACTATCGCCTCATTGCCACCACAGCCTCTGAGCTTGATCAGGGAATATCAGGAACGAAGACGCCACCAGAGTGAAAGAGAGATAATGACAGAAGGAAGCAAAGCAAAAACCAAAAAAAGTGGAATGCTCTTGCAGACCGCATGAAACTGATGTTTTGAGGTTAAATGATATTAATTATATAAATGATTTATCATGATTTATCATGATATTATACATGATCTATCCATATTAATCCAATGGAATCATTTCGGCGTTTCCGCGATTTGACAGGTGTAGACATAGACAGAGGCCATGCCCTGTGCTGAGGTTTTCACGCCGTTGGAGTATGGCATGTGCGGCTTGACCGAGGAGCACTGCAAGGAAAAGTTGCCCAGCGGCATTTCATTAGTCAAAGACTAATCCGTCTATACCTCAGGTGCGCCAGAGAATTGGCCTGCATGTTTTCCACTGATTGTCTTAGTCTATAGATCTCAATTTGCCCTATTGATGTTGCCGTGAAGTCGCTTTCCAACGCTTTCCATGAAACATCTCGCGGTTTGGTTCCGAGCCAACTTTGCCGAGCCAATCGCCACTTCCCACAGTCTTGTGATGCAGTTTGAGACGGCATGGGCCCCCAAAAAAAGCACGGCATTCCCCTTGGATTTTTTAGCGTGACTCAGAGTCCGCATCTGCCTCCAAGATCCTCCAAGATCCTCCAAGGTTCGGGGCTGATGGCTACGCGTCATTCACCAAGGTCAATGGGCCTCGTTGGTTTCACAATAAAATTGTGACGTGGGCACAGGATGGCACAGGTAGGAGACCGTGCAACTGAGTGACTGCCCTACTTCGCCCTTAGGAGGCGAAACCTTTGGAATGGTCAGTGGTTCCCCACCGAAGTTCCGAACCATGGCTTGCAAAAATTTGCTCTGCATGGCTGTACTTGGTAGGAAGAAATATCGTATGTGACAGTCACTGGAGCTGTTTCTCCGTGGGAGATTCTGGGGGAGATGGCCATCCCTCATCATTAACCAGCCATATACCAAACATCCCACGAGATGCTTGAGTGTCTATCCTGTCTATCTTCAATTTAATGGTTTGAGATGGCTTCTGACCAAAGGATGCATTTTTCAAAGTCCTCGTTGACAATGGCAGTCCAGGGCTCAGAGCCAACTGGCTGCAACGATTTGCAAGCTGAGATTGTCTTCGTGGCTCCTGAACCACCGATATTTGCATTTGAAGCACGGCTGATGTTTGAAAAGTGGGCTGCGCATAGCTGGTCGCAGTAACAGATGTTGATAATGGCGTGTCCAATCATTTCCAGCCTGTCCTGACATCGACCCTGGCCAGCTGGAAAAATTGTTGGCTTCCACGTCTTGGGACCGCAAGCAGGACAGTGAGAGAGTGCGCTCACCCTGGTCTTGACTGTCTCAGTACCGCTTCGAGCGGCTTCAATGCTGACAAGGAAAGCATAGAAAAGCACAACCAGATTGCAAACAAACCATGCGCATCCAAGCGCTAAGTTTTTGAATTAGCCATCCTTATGAGCGGACACGCATCCTGGAGGAGAGATCACACAGGCTATGGCTGTAGCCATGAAGCTGGGCGTGAAGAAGGTGCCAGCTGGCAGCACAATCCAAGCTGGCTGCGTTGCACCAGCTGGAACTACGGCATAAAACGCAGCATTGGAGGGTTTGCAAGAAGTACATAAAGACATCATAAGACATCACTGTTTGGCATCAACGAAGAGGGTCAACAATAGAAATGTTTTTTCTTTAACTGGTGTGTTTTGAAGCTTCTTAGCTTCATGCTGCCATGATCTTGCCAGAATCTGATGAAAATTGCCCCCTGGTTAGCGCAGCCAGGAGCAGCTTGATAGTGTGGTTGGCATTCACCCCACTTTGGCAGAGACCATGACAATGTTTCCAGCTCAGCGCTTTGACGAACTCCTTGGACGGTTAGCTGTTGGAACGGGCCAGTGTGTGCTGGACCAATTTGTTTTCCCAGGATGTCGGGTGAAAAGATCGAGGGAGTCGTGTGCCGCTGGCAAGGGTTGGTCTAGGAATTATTGGGCAAAGCACAGTGGTTACTTCAGAGATTCTGTACTGCGAGGAGGGATCTTGAAACAAGCGAGTCAAGTTGAGCCAACAAGTAATTGGTCAAGTCATTTTGCTTTGCCCCAGTGCTGAAAGTTTGGATTTACCTTACAGGAGCTTGAGGGATGTTGAGATTGAGAATGATTGAGATAGAGGACTTGTTGAGGGTGATGACTCAATGACGGTGATGATAATGGCACGCAACCCAGCAACGGTGCTCAGCATCGAAGCCTGGCCAGGTGCGAATCCTGAGTTGCATAGAGGGCCGCTACAGAAGGCCGACGGACATGGACTGACCTCGGATGGCTTTTGTGCGTTGAATGTTCCAGAAAACAAAGTGTATTCGAATGCTGGGCATGACTTCTACATACTTCTACCATCTTCTACCCTTGGACATGTCCCATTGGTTGCCTTATCATGTCATGCATGTACAAGCGTTTGGCGGCTAAGGAATTGGACATATCAAGAGCCAGATTCACGACCCAATGGTACTGAACCAGCTAGTTGTATGAGTTGTATGTTGTGGGCCGATGCTCTTAGCCTGTTGACACCCCAGAGAAAATAACCGTGGTTGTCAACTCGCATTAATAAATTTCAGTGTGCCGTGGTCAAGTTCCGTGGGGATCTTCACCATATTTCACCATGCATCACAAGGCCGATCAGGCCCAATAGCGTCCCGCGACATTTGAAGCTCAGCTGCAGGCCGAGGCCCTTCAGAATTGGAAGCTGTTCCGAAGAAAGAATCGATATTAGATATTCAATAATAAACACTAATTTGTATGCAGTTGTGTCATGGTGTCATGGTGTGTCAACGGACGATTGGAGAAAGATTGAGATACGCTCGGACTGTCACTGTCTCAGACTCCTTTTCATTGGGTTGGCATTTGCAGGGTCCAGCCGAAGCTGTGTCGGCATGTGTCGGCCCATGACGAATCAATCAAAATGATTAACATGAAATGAGTTTTGCTTTTCATGGTTTTCCTCTGGGAGAATGTAGGTTCTTCGGCAAACCGAGGCTGATTTCCCATGATTTCCCAATGTTGCTGATTTGCTGACAGCTTGTGATGCACGGAACCTCCTTCGGGTTTTCGTGCGGAGTTGCTGCCATGCAGCAGCAGACGGCATGCACGAGACAGCTTGAGCACAATTCACTTAGTCAAAATGTGGTTCAATCAGTTTAACTAATTTTAACTAACTGTGTTCACTCAGTTCATTCATTTTCAACGTAGGCCATTTGAAGCCGATCAATGGGTAGACCTCCAGCATCATGACATGCAGTGGCATACAGCATGCCGCAAAACGAACGAATCACATTGTTTTTTGAATTTCCTTTCGACTTGTCGGATGGAATTCTGATTAATTCTGCCTTGGACACTTGATGTCTTCGAAAAATTGGCAGGCCTATACTAAGAAAACTAAGACACGGCTGTGCCTGGTCAGTGCCTAACTTGTTCGCAGCGGCAACTGGATGGATGATTTCTACCGGACAACAGCGGACAAAGATCAACCTGGATTGGCGCGGACAAGGAGTCTCTTTGGATTTGATTTTCTGAGAAGCAGTTGCTAAGATGGAGCGACGATAGTTGCTCTGGCCTTTTTTAATATTCTCTCCTGCCTGTATTTTCCTTCCTACATATATATATATATATTGACCATTATGAAGATGGCAATGGGCATCAATGGGCGCAAGAAATTCAATTTCAATCACCTTCGCAAAGGAATGGGATAAGTTCGTTCAATGTGGATTAGAATTTCAGGAGCAAACTCCGTTCTAGCAATGCTTCTTCGTCACTTCATGTCGTGATGGCAAAACAAAGTCTTGGCAAATCTTGGCAAAGCATCCTTGGATTTGTCAAGCTCAGAGATTCATTTTCCCCAATTTCGTTGGCTCCATAAGCATGCATAACCTGTAAATCCATGTAAATCATAGATCCGAATCGTTGCATTGTTGAGGTATGCTCCAGCCAATTGAAGCCTGGCAAATCTAATAAGGCAGAAGATTATTTAGCTCCAAGTGGATTTTTCGTCTCTCGCAGCAATTGGGAACGCGCAAACCGCATGTGATGCCTAGGGACCCGCGACCCCCAAAGGGGAGAGCAGGACAAAGAATGACGAAAATGGCTAGCATCATCTAGCATCGCAATTTTCGACAAAGAGGCTGCTTTCACTGAGAAAGCTGGTTGGGTAATGTTGGATCATGGTGCAGGTTGAAGCTGTCACGGCAATGATTGTTCATATGTTGAAGTTGAAGGAAATAGCAGGGCACCTTCGAGTGGAGCCTTCCCTCAATGTCCAATTGATTGGTTTCCTCAGTTTCCTTCGGTGGATTTTACTGCTAATTCTCCCTACCCGCCCTACCCCTCCAAACGTCAATGTCAACAAGGTCAAAAGAGGGAGATGGACAACTTTTGCTGGGAGCCCGTTCCGCACTGCCACACATGAGCTCGAGCAGCTCAAAGATACTGGAAGATGCTGGAAGTAGATGTGTGAAATGTCCTCCTCTTTCAGACTTTCAGCGCATCAAACGTCCTGATGTGATTGAGGCCGACAGTGAAAGAGTCGGACCCATTAACGTTGGGAAGCTCAGAACTTCGGAACCACAAGGGCCATAGTTGAAATTTGTATAAATTGGTTGCATCACATTGCCTGCAGCAAGTCGAAGAATTCAGAATGATCTATTTGGCGGTTTCAAACTTTAAGTCGTCCATAGTCCCTAATGTACCGGAACAGGATCCGAGCAGGTTTCAATTGAATCGTCGCCGAGTGACGTGAAAAGCATAGACGTCAGCTTGTGGCACTTTGCCTCCAAGGCCTCCACACAAAGAGGAAAGGGATCCTTTGATGCCAGACCCACAGATTTGGTGAAGAATCTGATAGAATAGAATCTGTGCATTTGGCGCATTTGGATGCATTTGGTATCAGTTGATCATGTGTGGCAAGTTTCTCTGGATGGTGATGCTGTTGGTCCGGTCTCGGCTGGGGATGACTTTGGAGGTTGAGCATGAGCTCCTCAGCAGGACTGATTGCTTGGAGCAAGAATTTGCGCCATGGCTGCAACCAAAGTCATTGCAAATGCGATCCTGAACACCGGCTTTATTAATGTGTGACTAGCCACTACTTGCTAACATTTGGGGCAATGAACGGGTGTGCTAAGACGGGTTTGAAGTATTCTCCTAAAGAATAACATAGAGCAGAAGAAAAACTTTTCAGGTTCCGTGCTAAGACGTCATGGTTTTTGAACGTTTGTTCCAAGTTAAGGTCAAAACGCGCAAAAAAATGCTTTCGCACGCTAACATAGACACATTTGGGGTAAAACTTCCATACACCCAAAAATGACCAAAAAAAAATGTCAATATTTAACATGGACCGCATGTTAGCCAATCCTACATTAACATTACCCAATTTCAGGTATGTTTTATTTTTCTGCCATTTTTGAAGGTGAAAATTGGCCCCATAATCTTTAACATGGAAACTGTTATGGAAAAACATTTTTCCTACCATCGTCCATGTTAAAAATTGTGGTGGTCTGGAGGACATCTTCGAAGGTGAGAATTGGCCCCGCAATCATTAACATAGACGCTGCTATGGAAAAAAACCATTTTTCCCCGCCATCTTCCATGTTAAAACTTGTGGAGTTCTGGAGGGACATCATCGAAGGTGAGAATTGGCCCTGCCATCATTAACATAGACGCTGTCATGGAAAAAATACAAGTTTTGCCGAAATCGTCCATGTTAAAAGTTGTGGAATTCTGGCGGACATATTCGAAGGTGAAAAGTTCGCCCCTTATTCGTTAACATAGACCCTGTTATTCTCAATTGTGTTTTCCTTGTTTTCTCTATTTTTCATTATTTTTCATTGCCCAAACAACGGGTTCGCCTGTTCCATGTTAACCACCGTCCTGGGGGGGGTCGTGTTGTCCCGATCCTGGCACTCGTTAACCTGGAATAGATCTACAATTTGGGCTCCCAAGCAACTTTCCTTTTTCCCCGATCAAGGCTTATTGCATTTTTTGGAAACGCTTTTAAACCAGTGATTCTGGTGGTTGGTTGCCTTTGTTGGCACCAAAAATGCTTCCAATGAGCAATTTTAAAAAAAGAATGTAACCGGAAAAAAACTTCATCTTTGGAGATGATGAACTATTTTTCCGGTTATATAACCGTCCTTCCCCAATCGCGGGCTCTGTAGCCCGACTTCCCCGACTCCGAGTCGCCGCCCCCAGCTCTGAAATATCAACTTTACATTTTTCCTTGTTTTCTTTATGCTTCATTATTTTTACACTGACCTAAAAGTAGATGGCTCAACTCAAAAACGAAAATACCCACAAGATGGCACCGCGAGGTGAGAAAGAAAACGGCGCTATTTTAGCTGGAACATAAAACGAGTTCCGCCAATTCCCAAGGCAGGAGGTAAAACCACCAGGAAAGACATCAGATTTATCCCAGGACAGGAGGCAAAACCACCAGGAAAGACATCAGAGTTATCCCAAGACAGGAGGCAAAACCACCAGGAAAGACATCAGAGTTCTCCCAAGACAGGAGGCAAAACCACCAGGAAAGACATCAGAGCTATCCCAAGACAGGAGGCAAAACCACCAGGAAAGACATCAGAGTTATCCCAAGACAGGAAGCAAAACCACCAGGAAAGACATCAGAGTTATCCCAAGACAGGAGGCAAAACCACCAAAAAAGACATCAGAGTTATCCCAAGACAGGAAGCAAAACCAGCAGGAAAGACATCAGAGTTATCCCCAGACAGGAGGCAAAACCACCAAAAAAGACATCAGAGTTATCCCAAGACAGGAGGCAAAACCACCAGGAAAGACATCAGAGTTATCCCAAGACAGGAGGCAAAACCACCAGGAAAGACATCAGAGTTATCCCAAGACAGGAGGCGAAACCACCAGGAAAGACATCAGAGTTATCCCAAGACAGGAGGCGAAACCACCAGGAAAGACATCAGAGTTAT